ATACTTTCATGGAAATTGCTCCGAGGAACTGCATTCGCTGGTTCCCAAACTTCATGAGTTCAAGCGCCCTACGAGGCTGGCATCCCGCTCTCACCCCTTCACTGTCGAAACTCCTAAATGTAGCCGTCTCTTCTACTCTAATAGCTTCATGTCTCGCACCTCTCGCCTGTGGAACTCTCTTCCCTTCTCCTGTTTCCCTGAGAGTTATAATCTCCAGCTATTCAAGTGTAATGTCAATCGACATCTCCAGTTGCCTTAATCTATCTACTACCCTCATCCTTTCTTCTATCACTCCTATCTGATCTTCCTATTTTCTGTAACCCCTTGCGTCCTAGTGGCTCCCCGCCTTGCTTGGGGTGAAATGCTTTAAAAAAAAAAAAAGAAAAAAAGTGCGTTTCGGTAGAGATGCCGAAAATCAGATAATCTAAAATAATTAATCTGTGACATAAATCTGAAGATTGAAATTTAACTTTGTATTTTTTTTTTTTTTTTTTTTAATGAATTTTAAAATACTCGAAAGAGAAATGAAGCTGCTGTATGTTAGGATTTTGAATCTTTTTTTAAAGGTTACTACATTTACTTGAAAAATTATTTCATGCGGAAGAATGACAAAGCGATTTTGAACAGCCCGATGCTGGGGCCAACCACAGGCAAAGGAAACTGCTTCACGTTTTATTATCACATGTACGGCATGCAAATAGGAACGCTGAATATCTACACAGTTACAAGCGGAGAGAAAACGCTGCGATGGACTAAATCCGGAAATCAAGGCAACAACTGGAAATACGCTCATTTCAACATCAACAGTAAATTTAATTATCAGGTGAGACTATTTTTTTATTATTATTCTAAGATTCTCGATTTTAGGCAAGAACATCCGAATAATGCCTATTCGTTCAAGAGAAATAGTTTCGTGATTTCGTTAAATAAATGTTGAATATCTTGAGACAATTCTTATCATTCTTTCCAGTATCATAAACCTAAAAGGAAGAAATTCCTTCTGTTTCAGTTGTCTATTACTCACAATCGCCAATAAGTGGTTGTCAGACATAGTTTTTTAATAAATCAGGGTAACAAATGCTTAATTTGATGATTGACAACCTTTCCTACCTGGATAATTACCGCTGCACAATTTTTCAATAATATTGTGAAACAATATGTTTTGTCATCATCAGAGACTGTTTGTCTCTTATTAAAAAGTAAGAGAAAATTGTGTGTTGGCATCACCAAAATAAAATTATATCATCTTGATTTTTTTAGTTCACGTTTTATTTAGAATTCTCTGTACATTTAAGTAGCAGTTCGTAAAAAGTCTCAGAATGAAAATTAACTGCTGTGAATGTGTTCTGCAGTTTTGTCGTTGATTTGGGCCTTTCGTTGCGCACCTGATCAGTCCCCTCTACATATCTGGGTTGAAAGCCGGAGAAGGATAATATATTTATGCGTCACCTGTTTTAGGCAGTTAGACTTGGCAGAGACCAGCCCTTTCCAGATCAAACCACGGACGATGTTCTCCAAATTGTTGCTTAGTTTTGGTCATAGTCACGTTGACGTTGATTCCATCAAGAAGATTCCTCCACCATCTCTGACCGTTGACGTTATCACTGCACCGGCCATGGAGTCTTATCCACCCTATTGTCAGATGTCTGTTGACTCTAAAATAATTTCATCCCTCTTTTGATATGACTCATCCTGCTGGGTATCTCACCGGAAAGGCCCGGTGGGGGAACCAGTTTAGTTGACGATGAACCAACTCTGGGATAGTTAGTAGGGGGTTATATTGTACCAACAGTACTCGTGACCTGATATCTCGTGATCTGCATTGCAAATAATACAAAAACGCTCTAGGAGAAAGCACTACTGTATTACAGTGTGTTTTAAATAAGAACTAGCGGACAACATTTTGGGACGATATAATCACGAAGATTTTGACCAGTCACTCCTGGGTGACCAATATTGTACTTGCGAAAGGGAGCACAGCGTATTTTTCGAGCCCCTATTTAAGAGGTGGCAGTGATCCTGTGGACTAGCTGGAAGGAGTGGTGCGGCATAACATGAACCCTGTTCATAAACTGCTAGGCCTTCACAGATGCTGAAATGGCTCAGTGCAGTACTATCTGTAGCTCCTCCTGTTCTCCTGGACAATTTCAAAGACTTCACTATTCCCGAGTTACTGTTGTACCACGGACGCAGCATACCATTGCGTCAGACTGGAATGTACGATGTTAATGCATTGGATGCGTCTTTTGCATCGTTTCACCCCCCCCCCAAGAAACACACAAAACTACAATGACAGTAGAACGCAGGGGATTACTGGGAGTGAAATAGAATAAAAAGACTGAGAATGTGGAGGATTGGGGGGGAGGAGACCAAAAAGAACAGAAGATGGTGATTGACGTTACGTTTAACTTTTTCAAGATTGTGGTTATCAGGGAAGCAAGAAATCGGGTGGGAAGTGCATGAGACTAGAGTAGAAGTGGCGGTTGCATCTAGCTAGTTTAAGACTAAAAAGGTGAGACCTAATTGCCAATCCAGTAGCACGATTAAATTCATGCAACAGGAGAAAAAAAAACATCATCCCCTGCAGATGCCATGAAAATATTTGTAGAAAAGACAGGGAAGTCAGGTCTGGTCAGAATCGCTTACATTACAGACCCTTCTTTGGATTTTGTCAAGAATCGCCAGATACACGAACAGATGCGCCAGATCAGATGTGGCAACAATTTTCAATGAAAAGTAACGAGATTGTTTAACTTTGGCTCATACCGCGTGGCAATACGTTAGGTCGACCTCGATTTATGACCCACTAAATATATGTCCTCAAATGCCTGGCGCACGCACATACACGCACACTATTGTCTTTCACCAAAAAGAAGAAAGGTCGACAAGGATAATTCAGGAAGATAATCTTTTTAAAGTTAGTCGTCTTTGTAATTCTAGTGAATGATATCAAGAGGCAGATCATAAATAATTTTTTTCTTTCGCTTATCTTATGACTGTCATTACTGAGCTTTGCCGAATTGCATCTATTATATATATATATATGTATATATATATATTAAGAAATGGACAAGGTCCGACAATTTATTTATTAAAGACATTTTTTATGTTTAACGCTGTTATTTATAGATACAAGTATTTAAGCAAATGCTCTGTTTATGATAAACAGTATTAAATAACATTTACCGGCCTGAATGTCCGAGAAATTTTCATAGAAAATATTCGTTCTTTGACAGGATTCGAACCTGCATCCTATACGGAACCGTCATTTACGCTGACGTGCCTTACCTCTGGGCCACAAAAGAACCTTTTCGATAGACAAGGTCGAATTTTGCTTATAAACTTCAATCTTCCATGAATCTCGTACATTCATAACTGCTCTGGCGTATCAAATGTAAACAACTTTGTGGCCCAGAGGTAAGGCACGTCAGCGTAAATGACGGTTCCGTATAGGATGCAGGTTCGAATCCTGTCAAAGAACGAATATTTTCTATGAAAATTTCTCGGACATTCAAGCCGGTAAATGTTATTTAATACTGTTTATCATAAACAGAGCATTTGCTTAAATACTTGTATCTATAAATAACAACGTTAAACATAAAGAATGTCTTTAATAAATATATATATATATATATATATATATTTATAATATGGATGAAATCCGACATATTTTTATTTTTAATTTATCTTGTTTAAACATTATTTTGGTGGATACTCATATTCGAATAGAAGGTCTGTTGTTTAATTAAACAGTATTTTTTAGCCAACCATATGTACCGTCCTGAATATTCGAGAAATCTTGTCAGAAAAATATGTCGCTTTTTTTCTGTAGTTGGATAAAAAATAGTTTAAATAAAAAAAATAGTTCTATTTGAATATGAGTATACAAAAAAAGTAACGTTTTAACAAAATAAATTAAAAATAACCATGTACGTGTGTGTGTGTGTGTATGTATATATATATATATATATATATATATATATATATATATATTGTGTGTATATATATATATGTATGTATGTGTGTATTTATATGTGTGTCTATATATATTTATGTGTGTATATGTGTATGTATATATACTTATATTTATGTGTATATTTATATGTGTGTCTATATATATATATATTTATGTGTATATTTATGTGTGTCTCTATATATATTTATATGTGTGTGTATATGTGTATGTATATATATATATATATATGTGTATGTGTATATTTATATGTGTGTATATGTGTATGTATATATATATTTATGTGTGTGTGTATATTTATATTTGTGTCTATATATATATTTATATGTGTGTGTATGTATATATATATATATATATTTATGGGTGTATATATATATATATATGTGTGTGTGTATATATGTATATATATATTCCTATATAAATTTTCTTACAGATTTACATAGAAGGAGTGTCAAGTGGAGGTTATTACGACGTTATAGCCCTTGATGACCTTGCCATGGATGCTAACCCTTGTCCAGCTGCCCGTATGTATTGTGTCTCTTAAAGTTGAATAATTATCACACCTTAAATTACAACTGATTCTGATTGATTTTATTTAATACATTCACATGTAAAGTAATTTACATGTGTCTCGGATCAGATGAAATATTCGTTTCTGATTATAATTTATTATAATATAGATTCTGACGACTATGTTTTATTACAATAGAAGAACGAAACCTATTAGATATTAACATTGAAAACATTCTAAAAAGCTTTCTGGAAGCTTGCATCTAAATATGAATCCAAGTATGATACGACAGTATATGGCTACACCTCCAAACACTAGATGACCAGAACCTGGAAGCTAATCTCTCTTCTGAATTAGCTCTAACAGCTCAGTAGGGAAAAACAGGCTGGCCACATTCAATGCCTCGAAAACAACACTGTCCTTGTTCCATCATCGAACGAGCATTTCGCCTATCGCGATGAAGGGTGTACTCACAGGGAGAGCCCAGCCTTGGGCGCCTACTGGATCAAACTCAACTTACGGCCACATCACGTTGAATCATCCGATACCAGTACGATCACAGAAGTTAAACAACGTCGATCCTGGTCAGTAAGTAGATGGGTGACCGCTTGGGAATACCAGGGGATGTAAGATTGATGTGCGCGTGATGAAATAGATAATTTTTCGAAATTGTTAATCGGAAAACCGTGTTCCAGTTCCCATTGGGTTCGTTATATTCACTCACGCGCAATTACCCTTGGGAAGGGTATGAATCCACCTCTTCTCCCTCAGCTATGGGTTAATTAGTAAGACCTGTATCACTAAATCATTATTATCTTCCAAAATATTTCGTACAATGTAGAAATATTTTCTGGCTTTAAATGACCTTCAAAGGGTTGACAATCTGTCGAAAATGAATTAATCAATTAGAACTCGTGCATACGGTCCATTACTTCTTCCTTCTGTACCATGTTCCCTCGGGGCGTACACAGTCGTCTTTCTGCACAGCTTCCTGTCCCTTGCAGTCATTAGTAAAATTTGCCTGTCTGTTATTTCTCCTAAGCCCTGGTCTACCATGAGTTTACTCAAGCTCACTCAGCACTTTATGCGATGCTTTCCTCTGTCCCTCTTGTCCTCTATCTGTTCCGTATGTATCAGATTTTCCAAGCCCTCTGTCCTCATTACGTGCCCGAGAAACTTCAACTGTCTCTTCACTGATGTTAAGTAATAGTTTCCTTTTTGTTTCCATTTTCTCCAAGACTTCGTTGTTGCTCACATGTTCGGTCCATGGTATCCTCAGCATCCACATTTTTGTTGCTGCGAGTCCAGCACTCATTGCCATGCAGGAGGGCAGATATAACGTAAGAGTTTAGTAAACATGCCGGAAAACAAGGTTGGTTTCCTGTATTAAGCTGTAGATATATTAATTCACGCTGTGCTTCGATTGTTAATTTTGATGACCCCAGAAATTCTTAACGCAATTTTATTTGTAAAAAGTCTATGTCGAGTAGAGCGCCAAGAAAGGCCGAAACTTCGTCTAATACAAACGTGTTGTATTTTCTCTTTTTGGTAAACATCAGAACTTGCTGTGTCAAGATGGTAATGGTTTCATGGTCGTTTCCATACAGGAAACTTTCGGCATTCATTAACCAAATGGTAACAGTAATGGTAGGATTAGCCGTTTTCATTCAGGAAACTTTCGGCATTCATTAACCAAATGGTAACAGTAATGGTATGATTAGCCGTTTTCATTCAGGAAACTTTCGGCATTCATTAACCAAATAGTAACAGTAATGGTATGATTAGCCGTTTTCATTCAGGAAACTTTCGGCATTCATTAACCAAATGGTAACAGTAATGGTATGATTAGCCATTTCAGGAAACTTTCGGCATTCGTTGACATAACAGCTACAATTACTGTCGGCTGAAATAAATAAAAAAAACCCACATTTTCTTTAAAGAAAATTCGCTTCTTTCGTCCATTCACTGTTATCCTTCTTTCAAGAGTGTTTAATCCTTTGATGGGAGTTTCCTTCCTAACCTTTTGTTTAAAGTCTTGTGGAAAACCAGCGGATCATTATTTTCCCGTTTATAATGTTATTAGAGTAAATGTAATTTTATAATATTTAAAAAAAATATCTGTGATATAACTAGTTGTATGCTCATCCGTAATAAACGTCTTCGATTTTTTTTTTTTACTGGGTGCGGGTGAGTCTAATGATTTCAGATTAAATACTACTTTTATCCTGTTTATTTTTTATGCTGATATCTTCAAGTTTGTCGTTTTTAATACAACGTTCTGGCCAATATATTCTTTTGTCATCCTCAGGTGTATGGTCTTTAGAATTTGTTTAACCTCCTTGCTAATATTGGTTATGAGGTATGTTTTTGAAAATCTACAATTTTGTAAAAGTTGTAGATTTCCGGTACCCGTAGTTGATCATGTTTTAATGCTATTCATTGAACAATAGCGCCACCCAACAGCTGTGAGGACAGTAAGCATGTAAAACTTCCGGCGCATTTGGGAGGTTCCGGTTTTAAATGGCTAATACTTTAATTTTAACTTCTTTTTTTTTTTTAAGAAGAACTTACCATTTCAATAGAATCAGCTTGATAGAGTTCAAAAGAGTCTTCGATGGATAACGAATTATTTTTCAACCTCTCTCACAGGCGGAATGTGACAAGCCTCTTGCTGCTTTATCGCTACTACCATGGAAAGTGCTCGAACGAACTATATTCCTTTGTTCCGTCATGCCACTTACATGGTAGCAAACCATCCATATTCCTTCCGTATTCCATCAGTAAGAAGTAAGTTACACTCGAACAGATTCTTTCTGCAAAACACTGCTCTGAGGAACAGACTCCCAAGGGGACGTTTCCTCGATCATTAAATGTTAATCTGTACAAGCCTACATCTGACCTTTATCTTCCTCTCCTGTCAATATAAACTACCTCTTAACGTAACCCTCTACGTTGAGTGGTCCCCGGGCCTTGTACAGGATGAACTCTACTGTAAAAAAAAAAAAAAAGAAAAAGAAAGCTTTATAAATCTGAAGAAGAATAAAAATCATATCGGCTCAAATGTTGGGTTAATAGCAACAAAAAACCTAATATTAATGGAAGTATGATATAAAATAGCAAAAATAATGAGGAAAAAAAGGACCGCTAGTGATTTATTTTTCACTTCTTAAATCGATATCTAGCATTTTAAAGAACTTAAACACTTCGTTTGATTTGATTTGTTTTACGGCATATCAATCTCAATGGGTTATTTAATGCTGGCAAAATACTTATTGCTGGTAATATTTCTTTTCAAAAATGTATAGCTGGTAATATTTTTCTTCAAAAACTTATTTCTGGTAATAATTTTTTTTAATCAAAGTATTTCTGAAATTAAAACATATTTTTACACTTCCATAGTGTTTTGACCACAGTTTTGTGGGTTAACTATTTGCCCATAACTGGGACCCTAACAGGGGCTACCACCTCGGGTCAGGGTGGACCAGAGAACACTAGTAATTAAAAGATGGTTCTACACTCCTCAAAACCTGATCAAAGGTATGTAGTTTATCTTCATAACCAGGGTGGCCCTTCGTTTGACTCGGGTACATTTTTGTTTGCATATTTTTAAACGAATGACGAACTTGCATATGCAACTCGCAGGGAGAGTTTTATTCACTTGTTAGTAACGATTTCTAATTTTTAAGGGGCGTGTGATTTCTCCCTGAATTTATGCGGCTGGACTGCCCAAGAAAATTACAAACAATGGCTGCACGCAACGACGCCAACGCCCATAGCAGATCATGACACTGGGACAAGCACAGGTAAGACTGTTTTTATTACTAGTTTTACCCTTTAATAATATCAAAATTTTAAAAAATTATATATATAATTATTCTGGCGTCCTGGTTGAAATTTCGGTTTGTAACCAATAAGGATCACAAACCGAAATTTCTACAATTTACATATACAAAGTCATCAAAATCAAGCAAATAACCAGCTTTAAAGTAATAACAAATAAACTTTTCTTTAAAAATTAAAAATAATAGTAATTTTTACCTATCATAATTTTACACAAACCCCACCACATGTATATACGTGCATGCGAGGAAATATTATTCAGCGAAAAAATAGAAAATGGCTCTGATTGCTGGCATGTATACATTCACGAGAAAATTTCGCTACACTTCCAATCTTTTAATTTCAACATACGAATGCGTATGTATAGACACAACACCACCCATATACATACATATGTCAAATCCCAAACTGTCCACATATGCTTATATATGTATGAGTCCCGGCGGACGAGCAAGTGTGCATGTATGTCTGCGTACCTCATCGGGTGTACGGACATGCATCTATGTTTGTGTTAGCACGATGACAGCACGACGACGATCGCCCCCCATTCCCATAATAACACCAATACACGCAATCTAAATAAACCAAATATGTTAGCTCTATCTCTGATACTGAGCGCTTTCTAATAAGTACGGCACATATAATATATAAATAATTATATATATGTATATATATATACACACACTTTTATACACACATATATATATATATATATATATATATATATATGACAGCATCACAGAGGATCAACAATATATATATATATATATATATATATATATATAGTCGACTCTCCTGTCAAGTTCAACGTATGAGGGTCATGCAGATCAGTTCCCAGGAAACCGACAGCCCGACAACAGCACATGAGATTTGATTATAGTGGTGAAGGTTTCGTGCAGGACCATCCACACTTTTTGAAGGGCCGAATTCAGAGACCTGGGGCACTAAGCGCCACAAGGTCCCCAAACGACCCTCCGCAGCTTTTGAATTCAGATTTGTCCTCCTAAACAAGTTGCCATTCAAGGCTATAGAACCCAGTCTGTCCTGCTATTTACCCAAGAGGATTTACACCTTTCCCAAGGGTATTAGCACGTAAGTGAATGTAATGGATTCGACTGGAATTCGAACTCGGCTCTGCGATTCCTCAATCCAAGCCGCTATCCGTTATATATATATATATATATATATATATATATATATATATATATATATATATATATATATATATATATAGTTGATCCTTACCGCATGGTGCTACTCAGTTTCATGCGCGAGACAGTCATCACATCAGCTTTTACTTTTTCCTGTGAAAATGGGCTATTCCATTTTCTTTCCTGAAGACATTGAACAAAGGATTGCATTGTTACTTTAGCGTGCAGTCTACCTGCACTTTTACGCATTAATTTGCAGTATCTATCATGACTACGAGAACTTTTTAATGACTAAAGCAAACTAAATAAAGTTGAATAATGATTTACCGTTAATAAAATACACTTAATCATACAAATCATCAGCGTCATAATAAACAAAAGAGGTAAATATTAGGTTGGTGCGAAAATAATGACGTAATAATGTCGTTTTTTGACTTTAAAAAATAAGTTAAAAAACGACATTATTACGTCATTATTTTTGCACCAACCTAATAGTACATTATATTGGAATTCATTATATATATCACTTTTTCTTTATATGCTGTTTCTCCTCATGACGTAGGTGATCATGGCTCTCCACAACTTTCTGTCCCTTTTAGCTCTTAAACATTGTATTTCTGTTATTTTCTCTTCCGCCA